AATAACAAAAAAAAAGAGATAGATAATACCACAATAGCACGCTCCTGTCAGACCAATGAGACCCTAAAACCAATAAAAATTATGTAATATGTGTGTGTGAGTGTGTGTAGTATAGTTGTGTGTGTAAGTTCACACATTATGTATAGATCTCATACATTCAATAATAGTTTTAAACTGTATAGGATATGTATTTGGCAAACGGTAAATCCATGTTCTGATCTCAAGTGGAGATAATATAATTAGATTAGAAAACACACACTCCTAATGTATAGTCACATTCCCCTGCCTAGTATGATTCATAAAGTTAAAAACTAAGTATATTACAAATATTAGCCCATTATATCTATCTATTTTCTTAGTTAAATCTAAAAAGGTCGTATCCTCCTCACATATAAAGCAGCATCAAATAACTTGCTTACAATAAAGTATGTAATATATCTTCAAGTTCTGTTATATAAGATAAATTTTCCGTCATGAATACAGAGTCATAGGCAGAAGGTATAACAAGTAAATATTATAAATCGCGAAAAGAAAGGTACGGGAAACATGCTTAACAAAGAATATATCGCGGTCGTGGGAAACATGCCTAAATTTTCTTTTCAGATATCAAAAGTCAGACATTTAAAGATGGTGGAATTAATGTGAGCGTATTTTACAATTTGCAGTTCAGTTATTTGCATTCAGTCTTCTCATTTACCGTTTAACAATTGCAGCGTTATTTTTTTCATTAATTCTGTCATGTATCCACGTTTTATTTTATCATATCGACTCGCATGGTCACTACATCCGATTCGAAAATAAGAGCGGGATGAGTGTAATATAAACCTTATAATAACAAATAACAATATAACACAATAATCGATTATAACATTGGGCTATGTGAACAGCATAATTCCCAACTGCCAGGTTTAGCTTGCCAAATGATTATCGTCGCTTTCTGTAAATGCGTTGTTGGAAGATCGTTATGCAGGGGAATCATTATAGTTTATCCATCTATAGTGTGTCGCTTATCTACATCCTCTCAGTCTTCTCACTAATCATTCACTGTCGACCACGCGCGCGCAGAATCTTCCGTGGCGAAGGTTCAGAGTCCAAAAAACTCTGGATAACTTTGAATAACTTGAAGGGCAGTCGGGCCGGATCATATCACTAATGATTCACGTCATCTGTTCTGTTACTCTTTAAAACCGCACTTTCTCCCCCGATCTTCTCTTCTCTTTACGAATTCAGTTCCAATCTATAAAAGAAGAGTGGTAAACGCTTTGTCATTTGCCTTCAGTATCATGCAGGGGTCCCTGTTTATGAATTATGTTATCAATCATTCAGATTATGTTCTGGGAATCACTCATCACTCCAATCACAGTCCGCGGAGTCCTTCAGAGAGCGATACCTTCTTTCCGGGCACTCCGGACCAGCCAGTCGTCCTCCGCGGCCTCGTCCTCGTCGTCGTCGACCATGTCCAGGTCGAGGGTGTGGTACACGCGCCGCCTCGCCCGCCAGTGCCGCCTGTGGAAGCAAGATCATGAACAAAATTTCTGCGCGAGAGACGACTGCGAAGGAAAATACTGATGTTCGAATGCGAAGAGGAGCCCATTCCTGTTCTCCGCCATACCTGGTGAAGAGGGCGACGGTGCCCACGACGATGGCCATGATGCTTGCCAGGAGTGTGGCGACCATCAGGAGGGGGCGCACTGAGCCACCGGCGCCTTCCACGCACAGCCCCCACACCGCGGATCCGACGCCCACGCCCACGCGCCAGCACCACCACGACGCCCATGCTTCGCGCTCTTGATCACCTGGGGAATCCAGATATATTAGGATAAAAAATTCGCTCCACAATTTTTTTTAATAAGTGCTCACTATACCACAGGGCGTAAGTACATATACATA